TTGTTTAGTATTTTAATGAAATAGAACCATAAACATTTCAACCTGGTGGACTCACATGAAATAGATTCTTCGCAACAGACATAATAAACTCTATGTGTCGGACACAAAGAAAACAACTTATGCAGGTCATTGACATATCCAACGAACCAAGCAAAACAACCGAGTCGTCAAAGCTGACAAACCATAACTGACTTACGCCGCGTCAGTTTTACAACCATTACGAAATAACTATGGATAAATCAGTCAGTATCTATTAACCAAACTGATATCCCTTGACCGGCAAACATCTCCTTACGTGAAAATGATGATAAAATCTGTCCAGGTTGTCAAAACGTCAGACAAAAATACCAGTCCCTTTGAGGTTTATGTTACCATAAACATTTCAACCACGAATCTTGATGGTAAATACGCGTTTATGAATATACTGGCTTTGTTCAAGAGTTGAAATTATCCCTATGTGTCCATATTCTAAGCTTTTTCTTGAGCTGTGGTTTGGGAGAACATTACATTTCCTTTTTTGGTGAGTCAATATTACTTCTGGATAAAACGTATGAGTTCATTTTGATCGTGAGAAAACATACAGGCGTATCATAATGATGGCAAGAACAACAAGCAATTTAAAGGCAATAATGATGCTGATGCCATTTTTGGAATTTCGAGATTTAAATTTAATAGAAACTCGTACTGTCCCCACGTAACTTTTTGCAAGAAACTAGTCTACGAAATAGTAACATTAGGTATGTAATGTTTGAAACTTCGAGAAGTACAATTCGTGTTATACGCAAGGGTAAACACAAAGAAATCTGCTAGACGTGAGAATTTTTATGGATGATTAAGTTTTTACCTCATCTTTCCTTTCGAAGCGTTTATCAAAGGTCAAAGCTATGAAATTATCACACCAAAACAATTTACTTTGTTATCATTTTACATGAAATAAATGTTTATCAAGTGGCCTCATAAAATGTGCTCTATTTCGGCTTTGCAGCAAAACACAGACTTTCGTTGCTAAACCTTTTAAACCAAAAGAATCTGGGACAGAAAAAAAACAAAGGGAGCTAAAATTTTAATTTGAACAGAACATTCCATAGCAATATTTAAATCGCAGATGTTATTTTTGTTATGATGATTTCACAGGTACAACCCTGAAATTCAGTTGTGTCCTTATCAAGATTATTATTTTGTGTTGTTCAGCAGTAAATAATAGGCAGACACTTCTAATTTGTCATGGGGGTGTTTCTTATTACTTTTGTTACCACTACTGGGAATTACGAATTGTATATGATGTCTTGAGATTATGTAACATTCCTACTCATGTTATTGTGGATGTTGCGCCAAATCATCTGACAATGAAGTAATAGAGTGTCTTTGGTTTAAAGAAATTTCACATTGTAATTACAAGTGGTGATTGAGACTCAGCTGAGTTTTCTTAATTGCATTGATTTCAATGATAAATCTTTTATCACATATCTCACTTTCTTATATCTTGCCTTCTCTTGTTTGGTGCCTTTTCCTTCATGCATGAGGTTACACAACAAGCGGAGTTAATATGATATGCAAGTGAAAAATTTTATTGATTAGCTATTTGTCAGGATGTCACACCGAGCTGTTTCTAATTGAGTTTATTTACAAATAAACAGTTCTTAACTACACTGAAACGTATGGCTTCTACTTGGAGCGAGAGAGCACCACAGTTGAAACAACCAGAAAGAAAGGTAAGCTAAAAGTAAGATTTGAAACGCTTTAAGTGAAAACAATTCCATCTTAAGTCTTTCAAACATAAGTGTAGTATCGTAGTTATCCAAGATAGAGACTGAAACGTGTTTAGAACAGCTGAACAAAACTATAGCGAGGAATTTTTATCATGGAGAACAGATATCGAATGTTTGAGAATCAGCTATCCCGTCGAAAGACATCGAAGCATCATACTGAGGTAAAGAATGTAAGTTCATGTTGCTGATCTATGTCTTATGCCCATGATGTACGTCCGGAGTACGTGAAAGGAGACATAAATTCTTAAATTCAAATAAGTCTATTTTAATTTGGCTACGGTTTTTCCTTTAATTAGGATATAAACCCTTCAGTTTGGCTCCGGTATTTTCCGAACGCAAGTTGTTTATCGATTTAGATCAATTTTGGATCCCTCTTATAGATGCTTGACTAGTTGTCACACTTTCTGTGAAAAGCAATCTTAGCAATTAATGGAAAAGGGAGCATTGCAGGGACAAGTGTACGTTAACCATTCTTGGTTATGTTGTTGTCGGAAATTTGGATTATCAATTTGAAGCTCTGCTGCCTTTATTACTTACTGAACTGAACACTCACTAAACCTCCAGCTATTAAGGCTATGACACGGTACAATGAGTTTCGAGTTTCGAGGTCCAAAAATAGGGTAGACGCACGAATCAAGACATAGTGTGCAGTTGCAGTCACACCCTTTTGATTTCACTTTTCAACAGTTATCAAGAGCCATGTTTAAATTAAACCCATAGAGACACTGCAGGCATGCCAAACAAAACAAGCTGCTCAACACCCTCGTGAGTCTGCCTTTTAGTCGAGCGTCGAGGGCCGAGGGTTACATGTCGAGGGTGAGGGTAATATGTCGAGGGTCTAAAAACACTAAAAATAATAAATCAATAATTAAATAAGAAATATTAAAATAAAAATATATTAAAATAGAAAACGGCCACGTGCATAGTTCAATGCAGGGGTTGTCTTATCTAGACTGTCTTCACAGTCACTCTTAAATCTCTAAAATTAAAACTGATAAGGGCGACTAAGTTTTTGTCTCCAGGTTTTACTCTAATCGTCAGCAAAAAGTATAATGTACGGCAATGAACATAAATCTACTTACCAGCGGAACGTCATTAAGCGACGCCTCCAAGGCAATCCGCGTAGCCTCCTCGTAGTCTTGCTTTTGGTAACGATACCAAAAGGCATCGTCCAAAGGCGCAGATATTCCTTGCACGACTTCTGAATACGCGAGAGCACGTGCACCACTACTGGTGCCGGGCTCAGGTGAGTTTTCCGACGAAGACATTTCGAAAATAACCTGAAATCAGGAAGCAGGCACACTTCGAAAACAGGATCTGTATGAAGGTAAGTAATCCTAAACCTTTCATATGATTTCCATGTGTGATTGACACCACGGTGCGCCATGTGGTGTCAGAAAGAAAATATGTTTTTCGTCTGATTTTAACGCTTGAGGCTACGCAATAAAGGCCATTAAATTGTGCAGTCAATATTTTACAGCAGTCGAGGGTTCTACCCAATTTTACAGAATAATTTCGTTTTTCGCCCTCCGAAAATGCTACAGAAATAGGTGCTTTGTTTGAGATTTATCAACACTTGTCAAGGCACAACGTGGTCGGTTTTCCAGGTATGTCCAATTACCCTGACAACAAAGGCTTTTACCGGAAAACCGCATGCCGGATCGACACCAGAGTTTTCTTTTCCAGAGATGTTTCTTCCGCACGAACATGGTAGTCTGCTTACGAAAGTTGTAATGTTTGAAATTATATTTTCAATCTAACAGCAATTGTTTGGTGAAGGTACAGTATTCTTGTTTAAAGCATCTAGTTTTTGAATCCGAAACGAGTCGGAAACGTAGGTATGTAGTTCAAATTCCAGAACAGGTCGCACACCGGTTAGCGCTTGAGGCCACGCGATAAAGGCAATTATTGTGCAGTCAATATTTTTACAGCGATCGGGTGATTTGCTTAATTTTACAGAATAATTTCGTTTTTCGCCCTCCGAAATGGTGCAGTAATCTGTTCTTTCTTTCGATCTATCACGCAGTTAACTAGGATGTCACTCAACGCTCCCCCAAAGACATGCCCAAAAAATGCTGCATAGAATACTAGCAATATTTAATTATGAATTTATTATTTATACTTCATTTTTACTTTAATATTTATTAATATTTATTATTTTGTTTTCATTTATGTTTTTATTTTTCATTGTTATTTTTACTATGTTTTTTATTTTAACATTTTTCACTTTTATATTTCTTATTTAATTATTGATTTATTATTTTTAGTTTTTTTGGACCCTCGAC